AATCAATAACTCGTTTAATCATCCTACCCAATTCATAAACATCACATCCAGCTGCCCATGCCACTTCAGCCACAGACATTGGGCGATTATCCTTTCGCATCACTATATACACACATGTGCCAATAAAAACCTGAAACCAATCACCTTGCCCAAATTCGCCCTCTGTGATGGTAGAAATCATCGCTTTAATATCAGTCATTTTTGAAGATATACCTAAACTAGAAGTTAATTCATCTATCAAACTTTGGGCTTGAAAGAATTTCCTTTCTTTGTAACTATATATAGTACCTGCACCAGAAGTTCCAACACGGATGAATGTTCCTTGTGGGCCATTGATGCCACCAATATGGGCTTCAAACTGATCATATTCTTGAACAACACCACACAAGGAACATATCAAATCCCCAGACACATCATCCCTAACAAGAGAAGTTTTCCTACAGTTGTTGCAGGAACGTGTGCCTGCCATAGTGTACCACAAATTTCAAAAGGGCAATTGTTTTCAAACGTGTTGCTTCCAAGGAACTGTTCAGTGAGTAAGTCAAGTTTTAACTTGAGAGAGGATACTGAACAAGCAGGGAAGCTACACTTTTTTACGCAAGACTCCACGTAATTCACTGGGAGACTAGCATGGAGATAGCAGCACTGCATTTAGTCAAACAAATAATAGGTTAATACAGTAATATGATTCAAAAACATTACATTCATGTTAATCTTCTTATGAAATTTGCTTAGCTCATCCATAACTAGATGAACAAACTTATTTATAGAATTATAGAACAGCATTCCTTAAGATCTAAAATCCTATGTGTAAAATCATAAATCTCAGTTGTGCATATAGAACGAGAATCCTAAACATACCGCACACATACCCAAAAAAAATAATTTTTTTCTAAGTAGAAGATTTACTTGAAAATTCCGCGTTTATCAGGTAATTTTATCATACCCGCTGATGGTTGTTATAGAACAGCATTCCCACCACCCCCACCCCCAAAAATAAGAAATCTATCAGTAGCGTTGAATTTTTAAGGGGTCATTGCTTCCGTCTCACTGATGGTTGTTAGTTTGCTTAATTGCTGGTGGATTGAATTGCCATGATCTCTAATTTCACTTTAAGTTCCACTTGGAATCATGGGGGGAACTTTCATGATTTTCCCTTCCTTTTTTAGTCTGCTCAGCTTTATGCTTGGTTAGAAGACGTTTTCATTGCTCAAGCAACATCAGTTGAAAATTCATTTGAAAACAACAATGGTAATTAATTTGGTAAATGACAGTGAAGCTAGCTAGTTAGGCATGCCTAAGGTAATGCATGTTTCCATTCATTTTGAAAGTCTTAAGTCTCAACACCTCATTCCAATTGCTTCTTCCAAAATGCTCGAAGAGCCTCAAACGATAACATGAAAGAGGTGGCCAAGATTACGTAACTATAAGTAGACCACAACTAAAGATGCCCAATTCATGTACAGACTTATGACATGATAAATGTTTACTCTACTTGGAATCAAGTCTAATTTGGCTTTAGGACTTCTTTACCACGGTCATTGTCTTGCAATCTCCCAAACCTAACCTGAATGTAGTTGAAAGGGCCTGGGAAAATTGTTTAACGTTGTGTTTTAAAAGGCTTTAAAAACTCAACCACACACAAAAACTTAATATTATTGTGCTGCCAGCAAAGGAACAGCAAATTTTATAGGACATGTAGTCATTATGACAGATGCCAAGTCTAGAAGGGTAGTTTTGAGTGCTATCACACATTGAAAGCAAAATCCATCGATGTGACTAAAAAGGAAAAAAAGAAATCATTCAAGATTAGGCTCAAATATATAGTTAGCCTTTATTTCACCATTACAAGAGTTCTATTTAATCAATTCACCTCCTCCTGCTGTCAACATGCATGAAACAGTAAGCTTTCCAAAGTCACCTTTAACACAGAAAGAAATAACAATGGTTCAACAATTGAGTATAATTATAAGACTCTTCAATGTGATTCTGAATTTCAAAAGAAGGTTCTTCAATTACCACATACAAGAAATAGTCCACTCTACGGCCCAATAGTCCAGTCCAGCAGCTAAATATTTACTGTTGAAAATTGAAACAAGCATATACAGAGCGCATTTAACTAATCTTCTCACGAACACACAAGCACTTAGGATTAGTCAGTACTCAATTTAAAACACAAACACAGTCAATATTCAACAAAAATCATAAAGCGAATTTAAAATTGGAGTCTGGAGAGAAGACGAACCTAAAGCCAAAGCCCAAAAGCACACAAACTCACGAAGAACGAAGTAGATGGCTAACTGGGAGAGGCGAGGGCGCAGGGCACCGAACTCGGGTTGAGATCTGATAAGTTCGACGGCGAGAATCTGGAGACATAAAAAGGACGCAACAACGAGTGGCAGAGATGCAGATACAGCCGCCAACGACGGCTACCGTCCAGAGGTAGAGGCGCAGAGATCGGTAGAACGTGGAAGTCGAACTTCGCAGGAGCGAAATTACAGAACGGGGTATTGAGTCTCATACAGAACGGGGACGAAGATCAAAGAAGGAGGATGAAGAAGAAGTCGAGGATAGAAGATGAAGATTGAAATAGGGGGAATCTATTCATTGAAGAAGGGGTGAAACTCTTATCTGTAAAATCGATTCTTCTATTGAGATGGAAGAAGAACCGTTGTGTACTTCTCCGATCTCAGGGCCATTCTTCATCGCTGGAATTTAAGAGAGTCGAACGGGAGAAACAGAAGATGCAGAAGCAGCCGCTGGAGAGAGGGAGAGAGAGCAACGCCCTCAGCATTCCCACTGAGTGGTGCATTCAGAACAAGTGTATGAAACACGTCTTGGTAAATTGAAATTAATTAATTACCATTACTAATTAATAAATATTTTTATTAAATGAAATGCGTTTAAAATTTCTGAAGAGAACCAATTTTAAAGGCTAATAGCATCATCTCTTTTTTCAATGTTATCTTTGAAGTGAGGTAGATGAGTTAAACGTGGATATAATATATCCTATCTATTTATTTTGGCCACTTATACTATTTTTTAATTTTTTTAATAGTACCTTTGAAGAGAGCTGATTGAATTAATTGTGAGATCACATCATATCTGCTGGATACATCTTAAAAATTTACTGTTTTTTTAAAATTATTTTTTTATATATTTAATTTCATTCTTTTGATTTTTTATTACTAATCATGCCTGTATCTAAATCATAAAAAATTATTTTATCACTTTATAATTTAATTTGTCAATCACTTCAAAGATTATAGTTTTTTTTGGAAAATTTAATGTTTTATTCTTCTATACTCATCTAGTCCGAAATATAAAACCCTTTTGTAATACAAAAAGAGTCTTACATTTAGGACTGGAAAAATATATTATTACATATTTATGTAATATTATTTTTATCTAATTATTATATTAGTGGTCTAACCAGATGGTCTAACCCATTTAACAGTTTGAATCATGATTCGCTGATCTTTCCGATTTGATGTCTAGTCCGGCTTTTAAAACATTACTTGTAACGGAATATGATATGCCTGATATCGAAAATTTGTCAAGAATTTCATGATATTTTTCAAAATCTTTCACAACAGAACACAAATGATCTTTTCAAAAATATCCCTATTAAGTTAGGGGCATACTTAAAAAAGACAATTTTTTAGATTTTGTTCTTTTTCTTTTTTTGCAATTCCTTTTTATAGTTACAAATTTAATTTTAAAATCATGAAATTAAAAGTTGCATTTCAAAGTTTTAATCAGTCGACATATATGTATATCAGTATATGTTTCATTATTTTCTTACTTTTGCATAATTTGTTGCAGACCTGTAGTAAAAACTTAAGATTAAACCAAAGTTCATATTTTAGAAGAAAAGGAATTATTTTAATAAAATTCAAGGGTGTAAATGTGATTTGGAGGGAGTCTAAGCATTTGGCGAGGTTGATAGAAGAAAATATTTCTGCAAGTATTTATAACCCTCCGATCCTTAATATAAGATCCATTTAACTAATTTCATTAGATTAAGGAAATTAGGTAAGTTAGTTAATTATAAGAAATGTGACACGTTTTTCCCAAAATACTATAATCATCTTTCTTAATATCCCCTCTATTTTCTACTTGATTATAACTGAAGAAGTATTTATAGGGGTAATTTAGAAAAAACCGATAAATATGAGAAATAGATCTTATATTTAAGACTAAAATCAACTCAATAATTAAATAATATATTAAAGACCGGAGGAGTACCTTTTTTTAAAATTTAATACGTATGCTTTTTTCTCTTTTTTATTAAATTATTTAATTTTGCTTTGTTGGAACCGTTAAGTTTTATAACCTTGTTATGTACTAACAATACCAATAAGGCAAGATTGAATGATTTAATAAAACAAGAAAAAAAAAGGTATCAAATTGAATATTAAAGGAAAACAGAGGCGTCTGCAAAATGGTTTTCTCAAGGTTGATAAATACAACAAAAGACATAGAATTCATGAATAATAAGCATGCCGATTCACCCAAAAAAAAAAAAGGACATGCCGGGAAACTTATGCTATATTTTAAAATAAAGTAGTAATAATAACTATTGAATGTTTAATTTATATTTCAACTGTTAAAAAAATGTGCACTAACTTCTTTCTATTATGGTGGTGCAGGAGACCAAGTCTGTACAAAACTCCATATTCTAAAACTCCCATAATCTATAAGGAAAAACTCCTTACTGATGTTTAGGTATTACCACTATCAAGTTTTTCCAACCCTCAGGTGTGGATTACGGGGAAGCAGAGAAGTGATTGAGTCATACATAGCACTCATCTAAACGGCATTTATGCAGCTGAAATGCAGGATTCACCCATGCTCCACAGCTACACTGCATACCCGCCCAGTTGAAGTGACCCAAACAGAAAAGTTTTTCCTCTATATGGCCCTCATTAACTGCCAAGTGAAGCAATACTCATATCGTACGGCAACTGGATAATATATTGATTGAAATTTACAAAAACCTGTTTGCATCCACTTCATGGGTTCGGCAAATACTGAGGTACAGTCCACTAGTTGCTTTTCTGTGTTCTCATTTCTCTTCTTCCATTTGAAACTTCCTTCTCCTTTTCCCCGCTCATGGGAAACAATATTCTCATCTGAAGCTACAATTCTTCGGCATTTCTTACACCGGTAAATAAGGTGAGCCTTTTCTGTGGTCTTTGACTCAGAGCTAACAGTTCCAGCCATTTGGATTCACTGATCAATGATGTAAATGTTTAATATTCTGCAAGTTTAAAAGCATATGAGAAGACAACATGGAACCTAATATAATTGTCCAATAGCCATTCATCCAGGCTTGGTTAAATAAATGAAGTTGAAAAGAAATAAGAGGTGAAAGAGCACACAACAAATTAACATGTAGTGTCACACAAAAATTTCTCTGGATATAAAGATGGTGGTTCCTTCTTGGCTCATGCCCATTAATAGTAGGGAAACTTAATATGGAGCTGTAAGAAAGGAACGCAATTAACAAAAAGTCCTGCAACAAATAAGTAGCATGTAATGACAAGATTTGGTGTAGCAACACGTCTACGCTACTCACTTGTTATTAAAACAAGACCATACCCATTAATAATATAAAGTTCTTTGTCCACTTGACGTTAAACTTCTTGAGTAACCCGTCGTTCATTATGTTTTAATTTTACGCCCATGTCAAAAATACTTTTACTCTAATGAACAAGGATGTAATCAGTATTCAGGATGATGCCAGTAACAAGAATTAGTACACACTAACATTGATCAGCCAATCTTTGTCACTTTAGACACAAGTAGCAGCAGACGTGAACTAGGCGTGACAATATTGAAAGTTGCAGAGACAATGAATTTTCATGTCAGCAACCAAAGCAAATTATTAAAAACCACACACACACACACACACACACACGTGCTCCTCTACCAGAATACTTAAATCTGTCGAGTTAGCAACGTGGGGGTCACGAAACCAATGTAGTTTTAGAAGCATCACATCTTCATTATTTGAGATCATATGCTTTGTTAGAGAACCATCCGATCCCACTAGACGGGCTGTTAACATATTGAATATCTTTTGATGTGTCTAACTTACTCGTATTTTCTTTTGTTGTAATTAGCTGATGATGCCCAGGTTTTTTGGTTCGCATGCCCTTTGTAATTTCATTTTTTGATGGAATTTTCCCTTTTCTCCAGAAAAAGAAGCTTTCTCCATCAGACTGAGATAGGGAGTACTAGTTACCTAAAATCAAGTACACCTAAAACATGGTGCCATGTAGGTGAGACTGATGTCTCCAAGGTAGAATGTTTATTCAGACTGTCACTGTAGTTTCGCCTTTCATGAACAGGCCTGTCATCTCATCTTCTACCCCTTCTCTCTCACAAGCCACGAGTCCGAACACACACAAAGACAAGACATATGACCATTCTCATTCTTCATATTACACACATAGAAGCTCTGAATTGAACAAATCTAATGGTAGTTATACTCACCAATTTCACCCCCTCCCCCCCCCAAAAAAAGGAGACGAATTCTTGGTGGAGTTCTCACAAATATTGATATGTAATCAATATCACTACATAGCCAATGACAACCCTATTGTAAATTATCTTATGCTGGAAAGCACAAGTTACAGGCAAAGTGGTTATTTAGCTAATACATGACCCTTGAGAGAAAATTCCAGACAAGCCAACAAGAAGTTCATTCCAGACGACGCAACAAAAAGTTAATATGAACGCATTATGCATAGGGTAAATCAGGACTCGCAAAAATTATATTGTTCAACTATGTTTGTTGCCCTAACATTGTTTCCTATATAAACTATAGTCACAAAACCAGAATAACACATAAACATTATTGCCTCCTTCGATTTGTTTTTTTTTCCGTGAATGCTTGGTTTCATGTTATTAGCAATCCCCAGCTTAATTTGATAGCAGAACGCAGAAGTTTCTAAACAAAGACAAGACGATTAAAAAGAAGAGGAAGAGAATGACCAGCGGCAGCATAATCCCCAGCTGTGAACACCGCCGATGCAACGCTAATGCCTGGTATCCTGTATGTTTTAGTCTGGAATGTGAAGCCTCTCGGAATTCATATAGTGTTTGTATAGTTTGACAAGCTTGGACAAGGTCCAGACAAGATGTTTGTATGGTATGGCAAGCTTGGACGAGATCCGGACAAGTGTTAACATGTGTGGGCAAGGTGCTTGTGTAGTTTGACAAGTTTGGATAAGATTTGGGCAAGGCCGTCAGGGGTGCACCGGACACCACGCAACATGCAGCGCTTTTCCAGCCGCCAAATCCTACCTCCAGTTGAGCCATTTCCATGTGGATAGGCTGTTAAATAGAAAAGAGAACTCTTCCTCAGGCCCCCACTAACTTCTCTAGACTCCCTAACGTTGCCGTCAGCCACAACATCCCGGTTCAAGAATTTTAATATGATTCCCTTTCAAAGTACGCACACTGCACGCTATCAAAAATTCTTGCAAATTGGTTTCTTGAAGATCAATCAAGGAAAAACCAATTACCATGGTAAAAAGCTTGAATACAAGGTTAGTTCTATGTTCTACATTGTATATTACTTTGGTTTCTTGAATTTTGTGGTTGAAAATTATTGATTCCCTTAAAGGGAGGTACTGGTCAAAATTTGTTACACAACAAATGGGATAAGGCTTAGTCGGGACAGCCCAACCCGTCCAACAATCTCAACAACCTCAAGAGAAAATTGCTGAGAGGGTACAACCTACTGCAGAACCTGACACATTGCAGCAATAGATAGTGAAGTTAGGGAAACACCACCCTTCAACTTTTGAGGGAACCTTTGACGTGCATGTGGTCAAAGACTAGATAACTCAGCTAGAGAAGATCTTGAATATCCTGGAATGCTCATATAAAAGGAAGGCTCAGAAAAGAAACTTTGTGAAACATTTAGAAATATTATCATAATTATATAAGCATCCTAAATCACGTGAAATTAACCATGATAGAAAAGAGTTAAACCAAACCATATATATCTCTATCATAGTTAAAAGAGCTTTTCTAAATTAATTGCGTGCAATTTGAAATTCACAATGAATAGGGCTTTGAGCATTATGCAACCCAGAATGTTCTTTTTCAACCATAAGTCCATAACACAACATTACTGAGCCATTCACAGTTTCATAGTCTGAATTAGTTTATACTTACACATGCATGGTTTAATCTTTAAGAGAAGCATATGACTACTGGCAAGATCAATCAGGTAGCAATCCTTCAAAGACGTCGTGACGTTGCCAGCAAACCGAGGCACCTAATTATTTTCTGCCAAAGCCCTGATACATTCTTATTGTAACACCTTTACTTTTTACCAAATAACCATCCAATTAGAGGTAAATGGAATCACATTTGAGTACGATGGCATCAGTGATATGAGTAAGATCTGGTTGATACTTCTTTAGCTAGGAAACATGGAAGACGTCATATATCTAATTCAGATTGGGGGGTAGGGCCAATTTATAAGCTACTGGTTTAACTTTTAACAAAATTTGGAAGGGTCTTCGGCATTAACTATTTCACCTTAGGGGTTTGACCCATTCCAGTGGTTTGAATTTCTAATAAAATACCTTTTAGGGGTATAACTGAACTTTATATTTTATTAAAGCTACTTCGCTAGCTTTTTGGGGATAGAACTAATTTTATAAACTTCTTTAACCTCTTAATATTTTCTATTTTTTATGCATATTTTCAGGCGTCCTTTGTGAAGAAAAATAACAAAAATACCCCTAAGGCAACATAAATAGAATTTATAAGATTATGAGCCAGTAAAAAATATATTGTTTAAGGTAATTATTTGAGATAGTAAAATATCTCAAAAATTTATATAAAAATAAAATTAAATAGTTAAAAAGTTGTACTTTACAGCTCTTTATGCAAGGCCCGTGAACTTCTTAGATTAGGCTGACCACAAATGACAGGTACTTATGGGCACGTTTGGATCTTTGGTCTGGGGCTACTGAAAGAAGAAAGCCCAATTAATCAGCAGGCATAAAGAGTCTCACTTCGCTGTGTTGTTATTTTTTTTCCCTCAAAACGTCGCACTGGTTTTCCTTTGCCGTTGGAGTCTTCGTTCTCGCATACTGAGGAAAGAGCATTGCTTCCATGAAATGGCGGGAAAAAGGATCTGGAACAATGCTCTCTTTACCAGGTCATTTCAAGTGATTGCCAACGTAGAAGAACCTGGTTAAACCCTAGCTAAGAATTGAACAGCTGTACGTTGCCGAGTTTGCCATTACCGCCCTGGAACAGGTGAGCCTTTTTTGCTGATTACTTTATTCATTTCCATAGAGCTGATTTTGGTTTTTACCGTGAAAGGATTTGGGAACACTTCATAATGTCCGCAAATTAAGAAATGTGTGTAATGCATTGATCAATAACCTGGTGTGTGTGTGGGGGGGGGATTCCTAAGGGGGGGAATTCCTTTAATTTTGAATCGTACACTGCAAAACTAATGCGTGAAAATTTTCAAACCATAAGAAAATGATCTAGAGTTAGGTTGGCAATATTTCTTAGATTAATATATATATACACACACATATGTACACACACACATGGCATAGATATCTTATATCTAAAAGGCTAATTTTGAAAACCGCATGTTCCATGAGGCAAGTTTTTTTTCCCCCTTTTGGATACCCGCTGGTAAGAGAGAAAAAAAAAAGATAAAGGTTTTTTGGATGCAAAATGGCTCATGAGATGATGCACTACTTCATGTACATGGCAGGTCGATCGGTCAATGTAAATTCATGATAGATCATGCTTGTTTCTAACAAATATTATTTCATTTTGATACATCTTATGCTAAAATCGAACTGTCTCTCGTACTATGCTGTGAAGATCTCTGAGGCGTCAACATGTCCTTGAAGCATCTCCACTACTCTGCCCATTGAGGGGCGATCACTTGGGCTCAGCTGTATGCAAGTAAAAGCAACTGTAATCATTTTCTGGGCTATCTTCTTCTCTTCTTCTGTGGCATTGCTTTTAAATATTGTTTCTTCAAACTGATCATGAACCCATTTCGCAAAGTACATCTGCCATGAATTCTGCACAACATCATAGTTCTTTCTTCTTCCTGCCATTTCCATCAGCATCATCCCAAAACTATAAACATCAGCCTTGTGTGAGATGCCTCCAATGTTTTTGTACAACAATTCAGGAGCCATGTATCCCATTGTGCCTCTAGCTGCAGTTAGAGACACAATACTTTTATCTGTTGGATAT